TTTTCCGTTTCTCGTTGACCCTTATAGTTAGACATACTTAAGATTGCAGAAATTCTTTAATCTTCTGAATTGTCTTCTTTCGCAAAATATCATTATGTTATGTTAAAGTTATGTCGAAAACATTTCTATAAAAAAGATCGGTATTTTAATTAAACTAATTGCGCATAAATGGTCTTATTATTGACCATTGTTTGTTAATATCATAATAATTAATATTTAAACAATTAATTGCTTATAGAAATTAATGTTAATTTGTCTATTAATGTCTTAATACTTAAATGATTCAATATTTTAACAATTTTAATCAATGAACTCATTGAACATTTTTATGTGAAGAAACATTCTCTCCACTTGTTTGTTTTGGCTATAGTATTTAAATTAAAAATAGCGATGTATATGACAAAAAAATCGAACATTATTTTTGTTCTTTCTTTTTACTGACTCTGGATATATCGATCGGAATATAATTCGATTTTGTGAGCACGGGAGTGTAAAGGTATAGCAGGGCGTTTTCCATAACACGCTTCGCTTGCTATAAAACTGACGTTCAGACTCTCCAGGCCGATAACCCATCGGATAGGCGACATTAGAAGAAGACCGAGTAGGTAGTTTATGATAGAAATGACGGGGGCGAGATGATTATCGCTTCGATCAACGTCTTTGACGATGACTGCCAAATATGCGTCATCGAAAAAACATGCGGAAAACATGCAACCGAGACGAAAATGATATATTTCTTTTTATAGAAATAACTGCACAAATTTGCTGATTTAATACCGTTTTTTCGCGAACTGTAAGAAAATATTATTTTTATATAAATATTATTAATATTATATTTAAATTTAAAAAGAACTAGGAAATGTTGCTTTTATTATAAATATATTTGGAATAAGATTGTGTCTCTTAGTATTAGAAATAAATAAAAGCAGAAAGTATTTTTAAATTAAAAATTTTAAAGACACAAAAATTCATCAGAAAAAATTTACCAATTATAAATTAATATTAGATTTTAAAACGTGATACAAATATATTAACTTATGAGCTATATTTTGAAATCATTATAAACCAATAAATGTAGCAAAAATGATTGAATGCTCTGTCTGAGAAACCTGATAAAGAACGTTTTACATAATTTATTCTGAAATGTTCTTCCAAACAACATAGATAAATCTAAGAGACGCCTATAAGACGCCTTTAAACATTTTGAATCAATGAACATAGAATTTTAAAAGCATCAGAACTGCTAACAAGCACTAAGTTATAACGTTAGAATAATATGAAATGAAAGGTATGAAAAGATGATGAAGTTAATCGCATCGTGAAATCTTCTCTCGAATCATTTTCAACGCGGAAATATCGAGTCTAAGTACGCGCAAAACGATTTGGCAGCCATCGACGATCGCACACACACGTCGAACATTTCAACTTTTATTAATAGAATCCGCCTCACGTATTCGATAGTCAAATCAGTGCACCTGTATCACGTTTGTCGTGCCAGCTATTCGTACGTTGGGATCCGTCGGTTATCACCGACGAGCGAATGTGAAGCTAAACGAGAACACATTTCCATTTTTCTCTGTAAAATAACTTTCTTTTGCAAAAGCTCACACGAATGTGTACGCGGCAATTGAGTCGAGCGTTGCGTGATATTTTTATCAAAAGCACATGGAAAATAGAGGTCCCGCAGAGAGGGTGACCCGCGCAGCTCGTTTCTGTCAGCTGACATTACCTTGCAATAATCAATGGTGTACTGCAATCGACACGTATTCCCCTAGTCAGATTATATATCGTATAAATAATGATATATATTCATCAAAGCTGTGCACGTAATAAAATAATGCATTTCAATAACTGGATCGCATGCAGAAAATTGTGTTGCAAATAAATAAAATAAAATTAAATAAGTGAATATAAATGATGCATTTGCAAGCCAGAACTTTTTAATCTTCTTAAATAACATGTATTATTTAATAAATAACATTAAAGCGTAATTTTATATTATATTATTATGCAAGGTAAAAAAAGTATTTAGATACTAGAAATATTTTTCAGAAAAGTGAAAATTTAGAAATTGTAAGATTTTAGTAATCTCGTATTATCATTTTTAATATCCTTTTTTTTTTTTTGACAATTCTATTTCCGTCTAATATCACATGTCAAATTTTCATATGTCATATGATCTCACAAACTTTCATTAAACTGTACCACAGTCGTCGTTGTACTGTTAAAAATAGTCGATGACGTTTCGGAAGTGAGAGAGAGAAAAAGAGAGAGTGCCGTTTTCATCTTATCTAACGTTCGTCCGACTGACATTCGTACATGGAATGAACGAAATGCCTCCGGATTTGGCGGAGCTGGAACGGAAATCGGATTGTCCCCACGAGTCTTCCGCTGCTATTTAATTTTATTTTTCTTTTTTTCTCATTCTCTCTCTCTCTTCTCTCTCTTTTTCTCTAGTGCAATCGATCCTCCCGTTTTCATTCATTCGTATGCACAAGTACGCGAGCACAAGTAGCGCACACGTCGGGCTAAACTTCGCGCTAACAAAGGTGCAGTGACAAAGGGAAGATGTGAACAGACGAACGGACGGGATATCGGTGTTCTGAGTCACTGAACAGGACGTGTGTTGTTCTCCCTACAGTTGACAGCCGCACGTTGACATTGGCGTACGTGTGCACGTGTACGTACACGCGTGTGTATCAGTTTTATACGTCTGCGTAATGTGTCTATAACGGGTATCTATCAATTTTTCGATGAAAATAATTCGTCGTGAAAATCGACTCGATCAAAAGATTTATTTCTTCAAATTGAAGATACAGATAAAATATATTTATTGCTTTCTTGTGAAATTTCTAATAAAACAGCATTTAATAAAACATGCGTGAAAAATAATATTTGGAAACATATATATATATATATATATATATATATATATATATATGTATATATATTTCTGCAAAAATTAACTTAATTTAAAAAAAACTTTATTATTAATAGGTATTGCGAATATATATATTATTGTGTCAATATAGGATAAAAGTATATGGTTATATGTTTTATTTATACTCGTATTTATTTATATTATTCGTATTTATTTATCATTTTTTTTAATATTTTGACTAATGAGTTATTATTATTAACACTGAAAAAATACTAATGTGAAAAATATATAATTTCTATAATAATTTGGTTTGACTTATACATGTATATGAAATTATGAAAGATTAATATTATTTTTAATTTAAATTTAATTTAAATTTAATTTAATTAAATTTAAATTAAATTTAATTTAAATTTAAATTTAATTTAAATGTAATTTAATTAAATTTAATATAAAAATTATAACATTTTTTATAAAATATAATACATATGTGTAATTTCGTGAATTACGAATTAAATCATCTTTTACAAATAAAACTGATACATGAATCATCTCACACACAGATGATCTAAAATGAATTCATGAATCATCTTTCAGGTCTATGAACTTCTAAATGCTTGAAATATTCAAATGCCAAATCAGTGATTTTTCTATCATAAATTCTTCTTTGTAAATCTACTTTTTTAAATAAAAAAATTAAAAAATAGAAATAGACTCTATAATAAAAATAATAAACAAAATAACAGCACTTTTATTCCGTATATACATCCTTTTTTAAATAACTTTTTAATCTTTTTTATATTATAATTTTTTAAATTATTTAAATAATTCTTTAAAAATTTCTGAAAGCATATTTAACTTAAAATAATAAGTTTCTTACTACGTACATATTTATGATGATGTTATAGAACACGTTTACGTCGTAAATATACAGGTGCTCAACTTTTGCACTGTTAGCTTACAACTAGTTCGAGCTGATGTTCAATTACTAATGCAGCGCAAATGCATTAGCACGGGATGCCAGTGGCATTCCTTAGTCGAAGTTTACTTTTGCGGCGTCGAAGGATTATTTACAAGTTTGGCCACATCTCCAGCGGATGCAGTTTCCGCGTTAAATTACATTTATCGACGATGGCATTCGCGAGTGATCGCGAATACATTATTCTAACGATATCGCCATCCATTTCCACGCGAATGTCCGAGCTTATTTAGAAACAAACAGTTGATCTTTGCATTCAGAACATTGTGTGCCGTTTATTTAGTGCGTTCTGTTTAACTAATATAATGAGAGTTGGTAATTGTTCAGAAACTAAGAAAAAATATCAATCAATTTTTTTATTTAATATTAAACATGAATAATTAGAAATCAAGTAATATTGAAAAAATAATAACTTGTAATTTTTTATTTATTTATTTTACTGTTGATATGTTTGCAAGAAATATATTGTAACAATTCAGATTAAGTTATGTAGAACATGTTGTGGTTGCTACCCTTACGAAAGCCGCAAGATCTATTGCATATTTCATGAGAATTCATTAGCTGAGAGATGAAATTCTGCTGAGAATTCTAGCCATTCCATCTCGTCTCTTTCGTTAATTTCGAGCATCTATTAAAATGGTGCCCACGTAAAGTACGATATTTACAATATTAACATGGGGTCAGTGCGCTGAAAAGGGCACGATGACGTCCAGAATACACGATGCATTTTATAAATGTTAGTAATATTAAATATACGGTGAGATAGATATATATTTGCGATTAATGTATAAACAAATATAAATACTAAAACAAATGCAGATAACGAAATATGAATGAAGGAATCTAAAATATAAATCAGATTTAAATTAAATTCGCATTTTTATAGAAAGACGTTGATAAGATTAATAAATTATTCATATAGTATCGAACATAACGTGAGATAAAATTTTATTATTATTTATCGTCAAACTTTTAGTTACATTAATTAATTATATTTTTATAACAATTATATTTCTTATATAAATATTCTATTAATTTATTGTATAAAATTATTTTTAATTTTATTATTTTTTTATTTATTTAGTTTAAATCACAATTGAATTAATAATTAATACGATGATTTTTCTTTATGTGCGGCAGGTGTCGTCAACAGAGGGGATTCCTTTCGGAGAAGAAGATCGAGATCGAATTCTCTGGTGCCTGCCGAGCAAGAGACCGAAGTACGGAAATTACCACCTAAGGAAGTCGCATCTCACAACGTCGCTATGCTGGGTACGAGAGGAGTTGGAAAAACCGCTCTCATCAGTCAGTTTATGACTAGTGAATGCATAAATGCTTATGACAGGCCGAGAGGTAAGTCCTTTAATTATGACGTTATAATATGTATGTATTATATTTGAGGGGCGACAATAAGAGATGATAAGATTAAAAAATAGGAAAATAATTGCTACATATTTTTCTTACATTTATTTTATTAGCATGTTCTCAAAAGATTAATTTATAAGGTTATATTTAATGTTTTGATAAAATAAAAGAGTTTCTATTATTACTCATAAATTTAATATTATTAATCATTCTTATGATGTTTCTCATAATTAAAAATAAATTATAAAATCTGTTTATTCATTATTATTTTAATACATTTAAAAAATATTAATTGTCAGAATGTTTAGAATGTTAATATTATATAAATAATTATAAAATAAATTAATCTTTTTTCTCTGCGACATTTTTGCTAAAGAATTATACCTGCTCTTAAGAATAAACTACAGGTTTAAAAGAAAGTTAGGAATGCTACAATATATGTGTTGTGTGTATTCAATGAAAGGTTTCCATTATAATCAAACTTGTGTGAAGAAGTTACAACTGATTCTGTTAGATAAGTTAAGAAACGTAATAGGAGAGCTGAGAAGATCTTTAAACATAATTCTGTTCGAAAGCAACATAAGATTAAATCTCTCCATAAAATATTTTATGACGATCCTATGTAAACAGAGGAATAATTGCATAGAGGAAATTGTTAAACATTTCTCGATCGATTTCGTGGCAAATAATCTTTATGGCGATTTTCAACGGTTTACGGTTCGACCGGTTATATCACGCAAGTTTACGTGACGGTCTCCTGTGTGTATTTCGATTGCACACTGGTGAAATATCGAACGCCAGGGCAGCATCGAGAAAAGCGTAGTTTCCAATTTCCTAAGCGCTTTTCGGATTTTCAAGAGATTTCCGCTATTCTTGCTGAATAAGTTGAGAATTCGTCAATATTTACAGCGATACTTTGGAACGAGATCAACCATTATTCGATTTGACGGAAAACAAGGAGAGAATATTTTATGTCTGACCATATATAAGTCTGTTTCTCCTGCATTTCCAAATTATAGAATAACGTTGATTATTTTTATTTTACAATTGTAAAATATAGAAATAGCGCATACTAAATAAAAGGATAAAATAAGAAATAAGACATTGAAATATATAAATATATTATAATCCAATATTAATGTATTTTAGGAAAAGAATTATCGTATTTTAAATACACATGCAAACGTATGTAAAACAATATAAAATTGTTTTGCAATAAATTAGCCTAAAATCTTATTATTTACTATATGCACGCAATTTAACACACAACATTAATATTTAAAATATAATTAAAATCTAATTCTAAACTATCTTTTTTATCTTTTAAAAAAATTCAAGTTTCTTGATTTTTCAAATCACGCTTTAAATTATATCAGCTCCATTTAATAAAAATGCTTGCTATTGAGTGTCGATTACGAAAGTGTCAGCAATGTTTTGCATGATGTAGAATTTGCGTGGGAGGTATTTAGGTCGAGGATCGTATACCGTCTCGACGACAATGGAAATTAGCGTCTTCGCTTTGTCAACGAGCCACTCATCTTTGTAGTTTCCACCTGTTAAAACAGACGAGATAATTTTTCCATCGTTCGATCTTTCTTACTAATTATTATATTTTTTCATTAATTTTTATACAGCATGCATATCTTTTAATCTTTATTATATAGATAAGAATTAGTTTTATGTAAATGTTCGGAAAATGTTTTTAAATGTCTTTGAAAAATCTGCTTAGAAAATTTTCGTCAAATTTTATAAGAAAAATGTGTATGGATATATATATGTATATGTATATATAAAGTATTAAAGTTTATTTTAAGAGAATTATAAGCTTCAATTTAAAATGTAACTTTTTAAATTAAAAAATACAATTGGATATTATTATCCCTGTCATGTTGCCTTGATTTAAATAGACTCATTATTTCATGACATAATACGACATGTTATTAAAATTATTTTTTCTAACACTTATTCTTTTCATGAAAAATGCTTTCTTATAAAACATGATTTAATATTCGCGATATTTATTATAATTAATCGCGCAATTTTTTTATCGTAATTTTTCTCACAGTTTTCTTCTTTTTATTAAAAAAATTTCTTGCGACTCTTTCATTGATGCTTAAGTATGATAAGCGAGATGGTCGAGGCTTTGTTCCAGTTAGATTCAATACGCGTTTGGCGACATCATCCGGTATTATTACGATCGATATTTATGCGAGCTATCATACAATGAGGTATCCTCGCACAATAGAGAAAAAATCTGCGTTTGCTCCTCTATATTCTTTACATTTATTTTTTTAAATACACATTCCAATATATAAAGGATTTTTTTTATTGTGTTCAATGAAAAAAATTGTTTTTGAGAAAAAGATTTATTCCATTAGCTTTAATTAATTGATTGTACGACGCTTTTGTAATTTAATTAATCATTTAATTATGATAATTAATTTATCCTTACGTAATGATGCGCATTTATAGAATTATGTTATTGTTTGCATATTCAAAATTTATTTTTGCTTATTAACCTTAATTATATTAAAAACACAATATACACCTCCTTCATCTCGGCCAATAGAGCCAAACGCGATGTTATTGCGACAATTAAGAAAGAAAATTTTGAAACTATTCTTAATTATATTGCTTTTTTAAAAATGTTTTTTAAATAATACAATATAAATTATCTAACAAGAATATATTTTTAAAATAGAATATGTGCGTGTACTTTGTGCGCGGCACGTATTCGGAGTTTATCTTGTATCTCAAAGTGAGTTCATAAGTACGTTTTAATTACCGTAATTATAATTATATTTAGTGTGATAACACATGTGATACGTACGGATGCGTGTGTATACGGATTATGTTCACATTATAACGCATAATGGCCTCATAATAATTCGATGAGCCTATCAGATACGCTCGGAATGACGGTAGTGTGTATATGACATTCTATGTAGTTAATCTCACAAACCTTGTTACAAACTATAAGGCGTATTATTGTTCATTATATTGTGTCAGTTTTCGTAATTAGATACTTGATGTAAAAGGGCATGTCAATTTTCATTATATTTTTCATTTAAATTCATAATACGATTTTGAGCTAATATATGGTTCATATTAATCACATAAGCCTTAATTTGCATTAATTTGAATCAACTAATCTATGTACTTAATTAATATTGCTATGTATATAAATTATAAAGATTTTAAAACTATACATCTTAATTGCTTGTAATTGTAAGAGATAAATTAATATTAGACGTTTACAAACATCACGTGTTTATTTTCGTGAATGGGCAATCAGAATTTGCCTAAAATGGAACAATTTGCGAAAGCAAGTCGGAGCATAAGCTTTGAGGCAAATGTAAAAGATTCGTCAGGTCATCTCATAAAGGTCAATTGAATCATTATACGAGATGATTACAACCGTGATGATTACAATAGTGACTACAACCGCGTTCAGGATATTTGATAATAAAATCGAAGAGAGGATACACTGTGGTCTTTGATGAAATTTCCATTTCGCAAGCTTTAACAAGGAAAGTAATTTTAATTAAAATTGATATTAAAACGTTATTAAAGTACGCTTATAAGCTTTCTTAAAATAAAGCGTAACCGCTAAGAGAAAAAGTTAGAAATCTTTAAATTATAAATAATACATGTTTTAATTATTTTAAACAATATACAATTCAAATAAATAAAGTACATAATAAAAAATTATTTTTTTAACTAAATTTTTTACCAATTTGTGTTTAAATGTTTCATGTTTAAAAATTATTTTATTTATTTATTTTATTTATTTAGAATATAAAAACGGATTAAACATATTAAATTTACGATCTGCGGGAAACAAAATTTTGCAACTATTTTAAGAAATACATTTGGATTGCATGACAAACATTTAAATATTGTTACATGACTTTGTATCTGGTGAACAAGACTATAGCAAACTTTAGAAACTTACAAGCGTAAAGTTTGTAAAGCTTACATAGTGAAGTTCTAATCCTTTAACTAAACTTAGCTTTCTAGACATAAGCTTGTTAAGATCTTAATCCATTAAAAACTTGTTGAACATTCTCCTATATAACAGATGTTTTTACACATAACAAAATAATTTTTTAATATCAAAATGTTTCAGCGTTCGAACAATATATAATCTCATATGACAGTATAATTAAGCCATCGATTCTTTTAAAATCAGTATACTATTAGACTTATAAATAATAGTTATTATACTAATTTATTATACTAATAAATAATAGTTTCAGAAATTAGTGAAACAGTAAAATTTCAAAACTGAATTTCTGCAAATAAAAAAAGACAGTGTGATAGTAATTGTTTCAATCAACAATATTTAAAAACAAATATGTTTGTATTATATATATATAATATATATAGTGCACAATTTTCGTACACTGTACATACGTGATTCTATAAAATTCTATTTCAATATTCTATTTTATATTGCTGCGTTTCACGATCAAAATTGAATCCAGCACTCATCAGCTGACGCAAATACAAAAAAAAGTTTAAGCTGATGTCAAGTTTTGTGCGATAATTTTGTTGCAAATCGAGATCGAGGTCAAGAGATGACTCGCCGAACGAAAGAAAGAGAAGAAGAAGATTGATGCATGTTAAGATCCAAAGAGAAATTTTAATTGGATATTATAGTTCATTTTTAATCGGCAGTCTTTCTCTTCCTTGATCTTTCTCTTTCTTGCTTCCTATGACCTAAACTTAAAGAGTAATTAAACCAAAATTAAAATTGTAATCAAACTAAATTTTATTTTTTATTGAACATTTAATTATGAAATGAATTTGATGTATTTCTTGTCAGTAATAATAAGATAATGAAAATTATAATATATTTACATTAATTGAATTGAAGTCATATATACATTAGTTAAATTAACACGTGATAGTTCTTTGCTTTTTATTTGAATATTTTTTGTAACAACTATTATAATATATAATAATTGTTTAATATATAAAATTAT